TTCCCCTTAATGCGGACCCCCCGTCGTTTCCCTGGGTCCCGGCGTGCCTTGGGGCAGGTCTCTGGCCAATGTCCCGGGCTTTGACCACAAACCCCAGCAAGGACCTGGTACTTGGTCATGCGTTAGCTGGCTGCAAAAAGGAAACCAACCCTTATTCATTTTTCACGTCATTCTCCGGTTAACCCATGCGGGCTTTCTCCTCTCTTTCGGCAGCTCCTCGTAGGGCCTGTGTTACCGCCCCTCCGTTGCTACCTCCAGCTCCTCACCAGCATTACTCTCTCATCCCACAAGCCACTCCAAGGGCTGCCTGGCAAGGACAGTGGATGGCTGCAGCTGAACCTCGACCCTCAAGTCCCCACAGGGGAGGAGAGCCCGACTATGAAATGATCCGTGCCAGCTCGCTCTGACTCCGGGTGGCATTTGCTTCATATGCCTGCCTCGTCAGGCTCTCCACTACATTAGCCAGACTCCCGCAGGCGGTGCTCAGGTTCATTTCGGAGCAGCCTCTGGCGGAAAACACTGTCCAAAAACCGCTCTTCAGAGCCACCGGCTAACACCTCAGTAGACTTGAGTCTGTCCTCCGGAGCTAAGCAGCAGCAGACATGGAAGAGCCATCATCCTTTGGAGGCACAAAGCTTTAGCTGTAGTGCTTTAGTACTCTACTGACAATTTGACCACCCTCCGCGCATGTCGCCAACCGTAGTTCCAAATTTGGGGCATGGAAAAGCCTCCCAGTCAAGCCCTTACCCGAAGCTACTTGGGTGTCTTCACCGGACGCGCGCGCGCTGCTACCTCCCGGTTGATGGGCGCCGCCATTGTTGTTTACATCTCCCGCTCCGTTTTGGCGCGGAAACGCAGCTGAAGATGGCGAGCGACATTCCCGCGTCTCTAGCCATCCTCACTGCCGCCTCCCTCAGGCTCTCTCTCGCCTCCCGTACCTTCACGAACTCCCCGCTCATGTCCTTCAACCACCCGCATGCTCCGTCTTCCTCTCCATCCCTACTTTCCTGCTTCACCCCCATCTTGCTGAACTCTTCCATCTCC